TGTAATATATGTATATGCATGCATAAGACTGATTTGGAAAATAATGTAAGAAATTGATTTACAGCCCTTTGTGATAGGGAGGAGAATAACTGTTTTTCTTTTATCTGAGACAGAATATTGCTATGTGTATAGTTAAGACTGGCCTTGAGTTTGCTAGATACCTCAGGCTGGCCTTGAACTTGTGTTGATCCTCCCACCTCAGTCTCCTGAGTGCTGGGATTAGAGGCTACAGGCTTGTGCCTGTTATGGTTTGGATCTAGATGTTCCCCCCAGGTTCTGGAGAGAGAGCTCAGGAGCACAAGCATCCGCCTGGCAAGTGCAGTATCCCGAGTTCGATTCCCAGTACCTCCCCCCAAAGAAAAATGATGTACCCCTTGGGGGTACAGGCTTCTAGAGTTTGTGATTAATTTGTGACCCTGTTCTGGGATTATGGGTGTGAGTGTTACACCCGCCCTGGGGTGGATAGCCTGAATGCAACATAAGGAAGAGGGGCTTGCTCTCTGCTCCTTCTCCCTTTTTCTTTTACTGTTTATTGCCACCGTAAGCTGCTGTCCCTGCCCTCTGCTATACACTACTCTGCCTTAGAGCCAGCTGAGTATGGACCGAAACCTCCACAAACTGTGAGCTAAACTGTGAGCCTTTTCTTCCTTAATTTTGGGTGTCAGGTATTTTGTCTCAGCAACAAGAGAAAAGTGAGACATGTACCATGCGTGGCTTATTGCTATAGTCATTTTTTCTGTAATCTTTGCTTTATTTATTTATCTATTTTTTGCGGTACCAGGGATTGAACTCAGGACCCTGCGCTTGCCAGGCAAGTGCTTTCTTTGCTTTATTAAAGCAAATAAATGATTTTAGATAGGCAATTTTATTTTTAAAAATATTTATTTGGTAAAGGATCTTGCTATGCAGTTCAGACTTCTAGTGATCCTCTTGTCTCAGCCTCTCCAGCACTAGGATTACAGGCGTGCACACCACACCTGGTTTCAGCAGCTGATATGATGTACCCAGGGTTCTGGGACCAGCACAGCATGTGGTACCAGGGATAGAACCTGGGTCCTTGTGCTTGCCAGGCAGGCAGTTAGACCAATGAGCTATATCCCTATCCCTCAGATGGATAATTTTAAATTAATCCTGGGCAGTTGTATGTTGATGGCAAGCAGATTGCCCAAATACTATCCCTTGGAAAATCAGATACACTCAGAGTCTGACCTCCAGGCATCTCTGAGAAATTTTACAAAGGCATAGTATATATTCATATATGTTAGCTAATGAGGAACATTTTTTTTCCGTGTAAGTTGTGAAGAACCTTAAAAGCAAAAGGTGGCTGACGTCCAGTAAGTCATATTTCACAAACAGTATTCTTCTTTGGCTTGTCTTACAGGCACACCAGGAGTTGGAAAGACCACACTAGGCAAAGAACTTGCATCCAGATCAGGACTGAAATACATTAATGTGGGTGATGTAGCTCGAGAAGGTAAGTGGAGTAGTAGTACTTCTAGGAGTTCTTTGAGGGTACAGAATTGCTTCTAAGGAATGTATGCTTTTCTGGGGACCCATGGAAAGATGACATAGCAAGTGCCCCGATCATTTTGACCATTTCCTTTCCCACCCACAAAATTGCTGTCAGTCCCTGTGAACAGTAGTGATCTTAGGACAGAAAGAATCTGAATACAAGGAAGAGAACATTGTGAATTGGGTGGGACTGAGCGTATGTATGCAGTGGTATATTGCCGTTCCTGCAAGAACACATTATTTCAAACTCAGGCAATAAGATATGACTGCCCTGTGGTATTTTCTTAGGTTAGTTTGATGCTTGCATGCCCGAGTGCATATGCCCTACATTCTAAAATGACACTTTTTGTTGTTGTTTTTTGTTTTGCCCTGTTTTCTTCTAATTTTTCTTCACTCACTTTTTTTTTGTTTAGCTTTTTATATTCTACAATTAATTGCAGAGTAGGAACTCAATACCTTTAA